TACAATCGTTCTACTTTCTTGAACCTTTTCGAACTGCGTGCTATTCAAGTTAGAATTAGTCTAGTAGTCCAATTAGTCCATTTGCGTATAATCTCCTACAACAGTTATGCTCCAGGTTCCCGTTCCGGTAATGAATGACGAGGCGGCAGATATTGGCGGTAGGCCACCGGAGCATACCGAAGAGCGAACAGTAATCATATATCGAGCTGCACGTGAATCAACCCAGGCGGCATGGAATAACACTAAAGTAAGTCTTTTGAAAGATGGAGTAGACACGTTTCCCTTTTCTATTCTTACGCTCTGCTTTAGACTTGGCATATCGAGGTGGATAATCGTCAACGTTGGGAGAATCCATTAATAGGATGGGCCAGCAGGTAAGCATAGTTTCCAGAGTAATTTTTTCATGAGGAGTGTTCTTCTTATGTTAGTCAAGAACATTAGTTATGAACTGGTATGCTAATCGTCATAGTGATTTAGTGGAGATCCATTGTCGAATATATCGATGTCGCTAAAATTCGCCAGCAAAGAGGATGCAATCGATTTTTGTAAGAAAAATCGATGGAACTATGAGGTTGAGGTAAGTTTTTTGTCATAGCTTAAGAGACAGGAGAAGATTCTGGTTTTTCCTTTCTTCCAGAAAGAGCACAATCGCGTGATTTCTCCGAAAAGCTATGGTTGGAACTTTGCATGGAACAAGAGAACACGTGTCAGCACCAAGTAAAGCAACTAGAGTAGGACTTCTGTATATGTAATGTGCATTCGACTCGTACTGTGTAGAGAGATAAAGGTTTATACTGGTGCGTTATGTATCTGCTCGATGGGAACTTCCATCACTGTCTTGGCACTTTTTTTCTCCTTTTTTCTCTTTTTTTTTGAGATTTTCATCCAGTTAAAGCTCGTTGATGCGTCTTTTTTTCGATTCGCTACGCTTGTCATGTCTTTCTTTTTTGTGACTCCATCTTATCTAATTTTCTTTTTTTTTTCGGATGTCACTTGCATTTGCTCCACAAGATGTGCGACAAGGTGTACCTGATCATCGCAGTACCGTACAGGCATTACTCAATGAAAACTCATCACTAATCAAGTCAATAAGAGATTATTTGAGCATGGTTTGTAACTTTATAATAATTACTACCAGCATGTAGAAAAAAATCCGGTATCTCAGGGACGTACTGAAGAAGCGGCGAAGTATCAGCAGCTACTACATCGAAATCTAATTCACCTTGCTCAAGCAGCAGATCAGTCTTTGCTAGCACAACTTAGGGTGAGTTCATTTCGTTCAATTGGTAACATAAGATCGTTCCGTTTCTTTAACTTCCCTAAAATTTCTAGAATTCTTGACAAAGTATTATATTTGCCATCCAATAAGAAGGGAGAAATTGCTATGC